AAGTGCTGAATAACATGCTTCTCGGGATTGATAACTATTCAGAAATTCTTAAATTCCGAATCTCTAAATGTTTGTGAATTCAGGGAAACGTGGCAGCGTAAATTTCTGAGATTGTGAAATCATAAAAACTATGAAATTCTGAGATTCTCGAATTCTAGAGTGTTCAAATTCAGAAATTGCGCAGTTTCTGAAAACTCGAAAACATGTGAAGCTCTGACTGTCTTGAGATTCTGGAATTATGAAATTCCTGAGATTATGAAAGTCTGAGGTTCTGAAATTCTGGCGATTGTGGAGTTCTGATCGTCTCAAGATTATGAAGTTATGAAATTCCTGATAATTTGGCAGCTCTGTAACATTTGGATCAAATAGCCCCTTTATCTAAAATGAAACTGATATTTATGATCTAAATAAAAGACGGCATCGCACCATATAAAATCCCATTAGTTTCTTTACGAAAAATCACATTTCAGCGGCATCATCATCATGACTTCAACAAATGATTTATTGCACGAAACATTGCACATTACTATTTCTAAAAATGTGTCAGGCTTCTGATAATTTTTTCCACACTTGACCCCGACTTTCGCCTCCAGTATCCAGGCAGAGAATTTTAGAACAGAATTTTAGAGTCTTTTGTACCGCATAATTTTAGAATTCTAAACTATTAAAAATCTAAAATTTCAGAATTTTAAAATTCTACAATATTAGAATCGCAGAATTCTGAAGTGTTTCGCTGCTGACCCTATTTTTGTCTCATAGGCTTGTAAAAATTATATTGTAATTTAGTGGTCCTTTAATTCCGAATTCGTCTATATACACACATATGTGACTACATGAATTTCTGAATTCCTGAGTTCCTGAGTTCCTAACTTCATATATATAGACACATATGTGACTACATGAATTTCTGAGTTCCTCAGTTCCTGAGTTCCTGAATTCCTGAGTTCCTGAGTTCCTAACTTCATATATATAGACACATATGTGACTACATGAATTTCTGAGTTCCTCAGTTCCTGAGTTCCTAACTTCATATATATACACACACATATAAACTTCAAAATTTATTCGTCGTTTTAGACTCTCAACATTAGTACAATTGTCCGAGCTATGTGAATACTGGTGCGTGAAGACGGATTGTTATTGGTCAATTCGGAGTGGACCTACTGTCTTTTGCCAGTTTATCATGAATACGCAGGTTTTTCCGAATGAAACATTTTGAGAGCCGTTGCGGTGGCTTATGTTGTAGTGAGCAAGGGTTAGGATGATTCGGAATGGATATGTCGATGTTTTAGCTGCATTCGATGTGTGTTCGGATCTTCATGATTCATTTTGACCTCTAGCCGGCTCAGATATTTGGTCGTGTGCGAGGTGATTCGATCATTATCATATTTTTAGTTCTGGTGAGATTCCTCGAGTCTAAACTAAGAGAAGGGGTCGATCACGTGCAGAGAGTAGGATATGGACAGGTAGTTAGATTCTTGTTTCTGGTTTTGAGCGTTGTTTTGAATACTCTGTTTCCGAGTTGCTCGTTGTTCATTGACAAGTTTCTGGTTGAATGCTCTGATTATCGTTTCAGTGCGTCGATGTATGGGGAGGTACTTTGACCGTGTTGCCAGGGCATCACGGCATTGTCTAGTTCGGATTGTTCGCAGTACTAGAATATATCTGGAAAGGAAACGCAATAGCAATACTTCTTTTGTTGTGATATATTGACTAGTAGCCTGTTTATACACAGATGTGTACACTTTACTAAAGGAAAAGGTGCCGATTATCCATTAAGCAATGACGTCGAGAGTTTGTCGGTTTTATGTCTTCTAGCGGACAGTCACTCTCTTCCCATTGCTGTAGTTGCATTTGTGCATGGTCGTGCTCTCGCTGTTGTTGCGCTTCTTACGATTGTTCCATGTCACTAATTTGTTGCATTTACTCTAGGTAGTCTAATATGGAATCAAACGATTGTGACGTGGAAATTCCTTCGATTTGGCGTAACCGTTCTTGATCCCATTCAGCAGCTATCTGTTGCTCCATTCGTTGTTGTTCTTCTTCCGATGCTTCTAGTTCGTGGATTCGTTGAGATTGTTCCACTTTATCTTGGACTAAGGCTAGCTGTTCCAGAGCAGCAACACTCTTCAATTCATACAACTGTTCTTCTTCCCAGCGGTCCTGTGGATGCATCGTTTCCCAATCATACACCTCTAGCAATCGTTCCTCAATCACCTCTTCAAAGAATTCGTCGAAGGTCGGTGATCGGCGTTGTAAGTAGTCTTCACACTGTTGATCTCTTCGTTCTTCTTCGTACCGCTCTTCGAACCGGATAGGTCGATAGTTCTGTGGCCACTCAGGAGCTTGGTTCGCCATTTATCGTCGTCGAATCTGGTGTGCCAGTTGTTGATGTTGGAGTTCCGTCCTCTGTACTCGTCTTCGTTGTGCTCGCCTTTGCCTCCGTCTCCGTCGCGCTTCTGGCTGTCGCATCAGAATTTCGAGTCTCGACTGGTCAGAGATCAATAGCGGCTGGCTTGGAATCATGTTTGTCATATTAAGATATATCGAGGGCTGACTTGTTGTAACAATCCCAGTCGAGATCAGTTGATTAATCGAAGCTTCATTGGGAGCGTTGCTGATCGACATTTCTGAAGCAGTATCAGCGATTTGACTATTGTTGGCATTCATTCTGAAACAAATAGCCGATGCGAAGAAACTTTCTTCGTCCATACTATTAGCCACTAGCCAGGAGAATGTTTTCCCAAGGTTCTTACAAATTACTCACGACGATCTTTTCGGCGTTAACTTGGAAGCTAGTTGTTCGTTAGCAAACTTTAGTGTAGCTACTGTGTCGGCCGATTTCAATTATCTAGAAGAAAGTTACATAGAGAGAAGGTTCATCGATCGAAAAATACGTTCTATTTTATTTCATTAAGTTTTTCGGAAGAACAATAGATACATTTATAGAAACAGAGTGCCGTCAAGTAGCACTATCGCCTGGTAAATGTCAATTTCACTTCCTTCGCATTCATCGATTGCTCGCCGTTGTCAATGTACTGGTCATTATCTTTAGCAGCTCTCGCGGAGGCTTCTTATGCACAAGACATTGTTCCAGTGTTCGATTACTTTTGGCGGAGAATTTCACTTTGACACCGGCAACTTTAGATCCTTGGTGACAAAAGTATTCTTCCCACCAAGCCCGAAAGATGGGCCCGAAGGCGGTACGAGATCCGCTTTAGAACTGATATGGAGCATACAGGATGTTCGGATCCCACGCTTTTTTCTCATCAATGATTCGGGTATCTGTGCAACATCTCAGTTGGGATCATTTGTAGTTGTTTTTCACGTCGAGTCGGTTGATGTAGTAGCTTCTGATGTAAATTACGATAATCTTGTTCGTTCAGCTGTTTTAACAGAGATTGGGTATTGTATTGTTCGACTGGTTGCTTGGTAATGAACGCGGGCGAATAATTGTTCAATAGCAGAGACATATCGATTCGAATGCGTTCGATAGTGAAATCATGCACATCGGAACAGATTCGAGCCGCTCGTAGCAAGGCGGCATATGGAATATAGCGATGAACCTGACGTGGATGATCTGATGTGTACGGAAGAATATAGGGCTCCGCTGTTGGTTTGTGGAAAACAGATGTTGTCAGTTGTCCATGGTCATTTTGGATAATCACGTCAAGGAATTCGACACAAGATTGAATCTGGTATTTGATTCGGATATTTTGATCCTTCTGATCAGCTGTGTCCAATTTAGCTTTGATTTGATCGAATGACAAATTGGTGGTCATGAAACCATCATCGATGTATCTATCCGAAAAAAGAAGAAATAGAGAATCATATTCAAATGAAAATAAAACAGTCCATAGAGGCCATAGAGGCCATAGAGTTCATCGCATGCATGTTGATGTTCGATCAAGAACTGTTCGCATTCCAACATGTAAATGTCCGCTAAGGTCATGGTAAACGCTGATCCCATAGCCCCACCTCGAATCTGCAGATAATACTTGTCTTGGTACGCAAAACAATTGGTGTCTAATACCAGACGAGCCATTCGCATGGTATAGTTGATCGATAGGGTGCCAATCCGACCACGATGTAAATGCCGCACAGAGAATCGCATCAATGCTTCTAAGGCACCTTGCTGTGGTATCATCGTGTAGAGATCAGTCACATCGAAAGTGACGACCTTCATATGCATTTTTTTTAAACAAATAATTGTATAAAAACAGAAAAAAATTCTTTTTGATTTAAATGACTTAAATGTTCTTGTTCTTTTTCGCTATCTCTCAATTCTTCTGTTTTGGGTCTTAAAATTTCTCTTTCTTCACTTCGAATCTTAAGGCTGTGATAACTTATTGTTTCTAGATGTTGACTCATTCATATAGCTTGTCATCTTACTTCTCTACTTTTCTATAACGTTTTCTTTCCCACTCTTGTACTGTAGGGACCATAAATGGTCACAGTTATTTGCAAAATAAAACAAAACAAAACAAAAGAAGCAATCAGTTGTTCCTTTTACTTTTGAATTGAGATCATTATTTTTTTCATCAAAAGAACAGATTTGTTTTGAAAAATGATTGACAGTTATCTCAATCTCTCACTGCTGCTTTGTTTCATTGATGTTGATGGTAATAATAAGTAAAATGCAGCCACCTGTAACCGCTGAATATATACCATTTAAAAAGTAGTGGACGCAGTACTATTATTTGTTTTCTCATCGAACTCTCAACTATTAATCCGTATAGTGTACTTTTAAGTATGTAAGAAAGTGAGGTTAATCTGTAAATTCTTCATGTCTGTAAATTTCTGATTTAGGTTAGTATCATCTCAAGGAAATGGTGGTTACTAATTCATGTAAAATAATAATTCCATTGTTATTGGTTTTATGGTGTTCTGTCACTTATGCACAGTGGACAACCAGGCGAACATAAAACGAAAGTGTTATTTTTCAAAGTTTAAGCATTGGAATAATTACTTCTGTCGTTGATGTATCTTGTCCTGAAATAGCATTTTCAGAACTTAAGTTGAACGTTGAAAAAACACATACTAAGAAATTTGTTCAGAAATCGCTCTCCTCAGATAAAGTTAACTTTTGGCCAACTTATTGGAATAGTTTAATTTGAAAAACTATCTGAAAAGAATTATTAACCTATGAGCTCTATTTTAATGAAAAGATCGTAAAAGATCGTTTAGATTGAACTCAAATTGCTACAGAAAAAAAAATCTACTAGGCTAAAATCGAGTATCAAAAATGCATCATTCTGTATTTTGTAAACGCTACAAACAGCTAAAGTCCAATCGAGCTCAACCTTTCGCCAAATATTCCTCTATGTGTGCTCTACCATTGACCATTGCGCCAATTAGCATCAGTGATTCTGCATTGTGCTGGAGGTTTTCCAAAAAACCATGGTTTTTGGAGTTCCAGGACTGGCACCCGGTGGCTATTGGTAGCCTTGAAAACGGATGGACTATAGGTAATCGATCATGCTGAGCCTCGTGGCAATATTTTTTTTTAGAAAAGTTCTAAAACTCTACCGAAATGCGAGTATCACGAAAATTTGGGTTTTCAGGCTGTTTTCACCTACTATTAAAAACCTCACTATTCATTCAATAAACATCAGAACGAGTTCAAAATTTCAGGATATGTTTGATTTCCTCCGCTAAACGTAATTTTATGATCGAAAAAATCAGAAAAAGCATATTTTTATTATTGGGTTTTCCAGAAAACCTTTTGTAAAACCTTAGGGTTTTACAAAATTTCTTTTGAGGTCTCCTATAAACAGGATATGGAATAGCTTAAATACTCTACATTCTGAAATTTTGAACTCGTTCTGATGTTTATTGAGTGAATGGTGAACTTTTTAATATTAGGTGAAAACACCCTGAAAATGCAAATTTTGGTAAAAATCGCTTTCGGTAGATTTTTAGAACTTTTCTAAAAACAAATATTGCCAGGAGACTCAGCATGGTCGATTATCCATATTCCATCCGTCTTCAAGGTTAACAAAAGTCACTGGATGCCAGTCCTGAGACTCGTAGAAAATTCGATACAACGCCCGAACCACGCAAAATCAAGGTCTCACTTTACTCCCATTTCGAAGAGAACATGACGGGCTATCAGTCCATGGAAAAACAGCAATACAATCCTACTGGAAAATTTTTACAGACGGCCTAGTTAAATATAAAAATATCATATTCGGAATCAGGATCGAAAACTGAATCGACTGATATGTATTTCGAAATTTTTAGTTCAGTTTTATTTTTTGGTGAAAACCTGTATGATTTTTCAACGTCAAAATTCGAAAAAAATAAAGTATAGGATAGAGATATACATACATCAGTCGTCTCAGTTTTCGATCCTGATTCCGAATATGATATTTTTATTACATAAAATTTGAGTTGTGGTTGAGAAAATTGAGAATTGATCAGTTTTTTGACACCAAAAATTATTTAAAATGGATTTTTCAGAGAAAAAAGCCTAAAATTGAAGAAAGTGGTTCGGACAATCGATAGAGCTCGAAACGTTCTATCGAATGATATATTACACGATTTGCTTCCATTTGTTCTGACGTTAGGAAAATTTACTTTGTCCACTGAAGTGCTACTAATTAGTAATTAAAAAACGGTCAGAAATATTATTTTTAAACGTTCTTGTATGGAATTATATCTACAAACAATTCTCTATAAAACTACATTACAATCAATTGAATGTAACATTTATATCGAAAACTAGCAAGGTTTTCAACCATGCCGGCCGCTCAAACTAAATATTTCAATTAATTTTGAACGTAATTAATTAATAACTCGGTCACTATTTGATGAATTTTTTTTTATTGCACAGGTATACTATTGAAGGTATTTTCTACAAACTGACAAAGTTTCATGGTATGTTAGGGTGAGGACACCCCACATTAAGTTATAATAGTTTTTCTCTTTTGCGCTGTTTAGCAAAGGCGTTTGATATCTTTTCCTACACTGCTCTGCAGAATAGTCCAAAGGTTTCCATTCACACTCCCTGCTTGTGCGAAATAAAAGGTTTTTTCTAACCTGCAAACTCTAACCTGCAAACCCTAACCTGCAACCTGCGAGCTCCGATTTTCGCCATTCAAAAGAGAAGACTTGAAAACATGTTTTCATAATCAACACTGTTTTCAGAAGAGTTTTCTGAAACAGGTTTTCTAGGAGATCTTTAGACAACTAGGCCGTCTGTAAAAATTTTCCAGTAGGATTGTATTGCTTTTTTTCCATGGACTGATAGCCCGTGATGTTCTCTTCAAAATGGGAGTAAAGTGAGACCTTGATCACTTTGCAGAATAGTACAGAATAGTACAACAGGGGGCAGAATAGTACAAAAGTTTCCAATT